AGAATGTCATCAATGCTGAATTCGGAATTCAGACATTCCTTCATATCCTCCTTGCTGGTTAGGAATAGTGAAGTAAGGTTATTGCAAAAGGATCTGGTTGAGTTCAGGTTTAAGGATTTGAGTGATAATATTTATCACAATAGCGATGGCTGTGCAGAACGTTAATAATGGCTGGGAACGAGTTGTAACCTACGTATACCTTCAGAAAATAGTATGGATAATCCTAGCTGTTGTCGACTAATCTCAGTTGAACATCTAAATGTCTTTCATCTGAGCGTGGTCTTGCTACTTATGTATTTATTTCACAACACAGCACCACGAGTGTGACTCAGATGATTGTGTAACTTGTCTTTGGCAATATCTTGAGTTACATCGATCAGGGCGTAGGCAGAGATGACTAAGAGCCATCGTTATTCATACTGGTTACTTCTTACCTCGACTGAACCTTTTTGTCTAACAGTATGCAGACGACTGTGGCATGGACATCAACGAGGCCGATTACTGATGTCTTAGGTTTCTTGTATATCCATATATGGTACACAGGTTTCTGGTTGACAGTTGGAGACATTATTTTAGATACTTCGATGGAATGTGTGAGTTCCAGAATAGGCTAGTTGTTAGCCGTTTTTGATTTTGTTCAAAATCTATGTATTGTATTATCTGTGTTCACGTAAATGTTACGTGTGCCATTCAGATAGTTGTGTGATATGTGGTACTGGAATACAACTTTTTTGTTGTAAGTGTTTAGTTTTTGAAGATGGCACTGAGGGGTAAAAAATTGTAACAGTGGTTATGAAGCATACCATTGAGTATTTAACGGCTGATTCTCATCACTTTTATAGTGATCACAATTCCAAAGGTGGATAAACACTGTATATGATGATAAACCAGCCTAATTTTTTCTACGTTTATGTTGAATCCTTCTTCACATCTATTCCTTTTTGATCATTTAAGAACTTGCATCAATTATTTAAATGCTCCTTTCTAAGACTTTATTACTGACCAATGACAAAGATATTTGAACAATTATCTGTTCGTGGTTGAACCTATTTTATAGGTAGACTTATTGTCGATAAATAATCCATGGCACAGCTGTTCCTAAGTGAGGCGTTTTTACAACGTGATATGAGTAGATATTTTTGGGTTGATTCATGATTTTTCTCAGAAAATGGGAAAACCTTTTTTAAAATATGAAACGCTTGATTAAAAATGCTTGCTTGACTTGTGTTTCAGTTTGCACCTATAATTTTCTTTATTGAGAGTGATACCTAAATATTCAGTCTTTATATTTCTTCGTTTGTTTTCCTTTTTTTAGCCAACCATGTCCATTACCAATCACAATGCACTTCTCTAACCTTCTACCCATTTTTTCAAGTCATCTAAAAACTTGTTTGTATAGTTGAATAATTTGTAGAAGCATGGTCTAACATTATGATCAATAAGCTTGTTAGTTTTGCTCAGATCTCATGCACGAAAAGTGAAAAATGTGAATTATCATACAGGAAAACGTCATTCTGCATAGATCTGATTCATAGATCTGTTAGCGAATGTATAAAGTACATGATTATCTGTCGAGCATCGTAACAGCTGATAAATGTTTTTTTAAATACAAATATCTGTTGGAAATCAAAAGAGGCTGGTGCAAATGGCTTTAGCCATTATTCTAAACCGTTGAATAATATGCACTGAGGGTTTATCCGTCTATCGACCTATACCCTTGACCTCATTGAGTCCGAAATATCATCATACAACTTGTCTTTTATTGTCATGTGGGTTTCTGTATTTTCAGTGAATGTTAGCTGCTTCCCAACCGAACATCCCACTCAAAATAATTGAATACCGTAGATAATACAATATGTTTTATGCATGCATGGTGTCCATTTAATATCATTTTTAAATTTAAACGTGCGGATCTCATTCTCACTAATATTTAATTTAGTAAAGCAGGAGTACTGTTTCTCATGTTCCAGAATTTATTTAGGATGTAAAACATGTCGAACACTAATATAAACCAGTTCGGACAAGACTAAGTGCCCCTTTATTTTCTTAATGAACTGCGTTGATTTAAGTCCAGTGAAAAGTTTTCAGCGAAATCATACTATAATTTATTAAACTATTTATTCATTTGACATTTTTCCAGAGAAAATGATGTTTTCATGTGGGTTTGTCATTCACGTTTTCTTATTGTTGGGATCTTTTTGTTTTGTGATGTTATAGAAACCATTTCCTGAACATTGTTGAGGTCAGGCGAAGGTAAATAAGGAAGAAGGGCAAGTTGATTCAGAAGGTTGTAAACCTTCCATTGACTAAGATGCATTGGACTTATACTGCACATTCGGAGCCACCGCCTAGCTCAACGTCTTATACTAGCAGAAGTTGGATTAAGTTGGGAGACGGTCAGGGTAGCCAGACGAATACGTGATACCAGTCAATAGATTCCCTGACTGGTGGTCTTAGCCATGTGATGAGATGTAGACTGCCTGTTTGGAGTTCCTGAGATGGTGGAAATCAGTGGTTGATGACCCTGTGAAATGTCTGGAAATTGGCTGCAATGACGCAGGTATATTCACTCACTCTTGTAAGGCTTGAATACTTGCACAAACCGTCATCTTCACATTGTTTATTCTTTCATACAACTTTGTCAAGTCTCCTCCTATCCACCTCTTCTTTCTGTACTTCTGTGAAGTGTGGCAACTTGAGCCGATGTACTTGTGTGCGAAGTTCTAAGTTGGTTTTGCCAGTCCGTTAGCCAGTTATTTCCTGAAGTTTAACTAAGAAAAAATACATTAGCTAAACACTGAAAGATAACACTTAAAAGTTCACTTTTTACTTTTATTTCATCAACTTTGGACACTGTTTTCTGTCTATTCTTTATTCGTTTGAAAAAGATATTTAATTTTTTTTAAAAACAAACTCTCAATATAGGAATGACTATATTTTTTAATCTTTCTGAGCTCACAGTTTACTACTTTGTTGCTTTCAGATACTATGTGTAACTTTGATTTTTGCAATATTTGCTCAATCGTGATTCTTTGTTGTAACATTTTTGGAAGCAATTTTCTGTTCGGTTTGTTGTCTGCCTCTAATCGATCTGTTAAGAAGAAAACTGAGTGAAGTTGGTTCATTTGGCGTAATTACTATTCACAATTTCAGTACATTGTATTGTTGTATTTTCATTCTACTGGCCATTAAGTTAGGTTATTTACTAAATTATTTTATTATATAGCTGAAGCCTTTTGATTCAAGAACTTTTAAGCGAAGTAAGCACAAACTCCAGACCTGTTCCATCCCACAAAGTTTAGTGAGCTGTCTTATAATATCACTTTTTGTAGCCAATAATTTAATCTCCACTTCTGAGTACAGTTAAGGTGTTGAACTAGTCAGCTTATGAACTTCTCATCTATAAAGTAAAGTATTTCTTACTGTTTTACTAAATTCTGGTCTTTCTATTTTGTCCCTGACTAAAATAAGTGGAAATTGTCTTATTTGTTAAAATTTGGTAATGACGATTAAGTTGACCAATAATTTAATTGTACATATTTTTGAATCGCTTTCAAAAACGTGACAATAATGTTTGAAGTCCTTATAGTGCATGTATCAAGATGCGAAGATACCATGCACTTTTTCAAGGATACAAATGGATTTTGCAGATGAATACCAGCAGTCCAAAAACTTGGATTCATAGCATCTAATAAGTATTCAAGTCGTGCTACTTATTATCTATATTCTGTTTGTAGATGCATAAAATAATTTATAATTGTTCTCTATTTCATGATCTGTAACCTCTTGTGAAATGATTTTTGTGCATCAATTTATTCTGTGGTATTATCTCTAGTTGAATCTAATCAGAGATCACCACCACAGTTCATTTTGCTTAGTGGAATACTTGAGTCAGTATTGAAGGTGTATTATAGTTTACTTATGTATAATGGTTTCAAGAAAATTCTCAGTAAAGGTCTTAAAGTGACAGTATTTTCAAGATATCCGTCCATCTACAGCCACCGATGGATTCAGTTTTTAAAATCAGTAATGGATAACCTCAATCTACAATAAAAGTTAAGCACTGATTACTACTACTCACTGACTTAAGTGATAATACTCGGATGATCGACGAGTTAGCTTGTAAGCTTATCTTTCATTTAATAGAGATGGGGAAAGTCACAGAAAGTTGCATTGAACATCTCATTCCTACTGGGTTTTCATTTCTCACAATAGCTTTGTATACAGTGATATGTTTATTAGAAATAACAATAAATTGAAATGAAGCCATCAAAAATAAAATAAACATTTTGAAGTAATACACAACATGAAAGACAAAGTAATCTTAGATTCCAGAAGCGAATCATGATTTCACGACACACATGGTCTATTTGAAGTTATTGGTAAGAACGAGATCTCTTGATTTTATTGTGTACTTGGCCTTGAACATTTTAGACTACTGCATATGATGTGTATCTCTAACAGTCTTTTTGTGATACACTCTTCTTACCAACTTATACCTTACAATATCTGGATGACCTCATCACACTGTCATTTGCCAGATAGAATGGTTAATGAATGGTTCTGTGGTTGATTATACTTTCTTGGCGGTTGTGAATCCTGATATTAAGGCTGTCCGATGCCTTAACTTTCACGCTTAAATGGACTATAAATGGTGAATTAAGCGACTATTTTCAACACTACATTTCGAGAAAAATATCCTGCTCCAAAATTACTTTCTATAATGAATGATCTCTTCAACCGCCCAATGGTAATCTTAATGTTATTGAAATAATGAAAACAAAAACACTTTAGGACTATGCTGACAAATGTATTAATTGATTTTTTAAGAGGTTCTTATAAATATGATGAAACTGTAAAGTATTGCAGTGAAATTAAAATCATGAGAATTATTTCTGTCAGAAAGCCTAGTTTTGACCGATGTAACTTTTTTTTTATTTAGGAAAATATAAGTTCAGTATCACTCTTTTATATTGCTTATTTTCCACTTTACTATATAGCCTAATATCTACCCATGGACGGATGGCTCGATTGCCCTACTTAGACGAAAGGATTGTAGACTTTCTAACCAAAATTCCACTAGAGTTTAAAGTAAGTGGTAGTTTTTTTTTTGAATTTACCTTATAAATAGCACTACAACAAGAATGATAGCTTTTAAAGTCATCTCAAAGTTCATTTATTTATAACCATCTCTATATACTACTACGTAAAATTACTTCTTCTAATAGTTATTTGTCATTTGGTTGTTCATTTTATTCTCAATAGTTCATTTCATATTTAAGTCACCTAATCCGGTTGCACCATTCTCGGTGGAGTTGGTTTCCAATGTCATTGTAACGCATACAAAATGCCTACTTAAAATTTTCTAGCCTTCGTCTGTAAGATATCTGCCTGCCTAGAGCGAGTATACTGTGTAATCCTATGCCTCCTCCTGCTGACCTACCATGAGCCGTAACCATTGAAGAGATAATGCGTAGTTGGCTTATAAGTTTTATATATATATATATATATATATATATATATATATATATATATATATATATAAGTTGGTGATGTTCAGATCAAGGAATTTACATAAGAATGTTTGAATCATTCTGTTTGCTTGTCAACTGAATCTGAGGTTTAATTTTGTCATTTAACTGCCTAAATCTTAGCATATAAAAATTAGGATAATTAATGAATATCTTATTTGACGTAATTAACTTATCATCTAACCACTAGATTACTACTACTAACATCTACTTTGCCTCCCCTGGCTTTTTTCATAAACTTTCTCTAATACACGGAAAAAATAAGTAATCAGATTTAACTTATTTTCCTAAAAATAAGTTAATTTAAAGAATAGTAATAATTTAATCAGTGTATAATTCTCATGATCCTGACAAGTTCTACATGCTAAATTGTCAGTTCGCTTTGTGATGATATTTTCATGCATAGCTAAAATATGATATGGAAAAACTCTTCATTCTATCTACACTAATTTATAATTTTAATTTGTTGTTAATAGAATATTGTATATTGTTACCTCTTCTTCATTCGTTTTTGTACTCATGAAAACTGTTATGGTGATGATGAAGACGATTTTTAATATTCTTGAAGTGATCAACATTTATTATGATGGATTTCATGGGATTCATTCTTAGGAAGTGTGGTACTTCACAATGATGAGTGGATCAGTGCTGTCATACAGATAACAAAGTATCGACAAGTGTTGTATTGCGATAATTTTTACCGATACAAGTAGATCATATCATATAATCTTTTTATGAGTTTATTTTTAAGCTCTTTACTTAGTTTTAAGATCATCAGAGAAAACATAAGCAGAGTAAAATGTTGTATCTATTTATGCTGTGATCGGTATTACAGGTGACATAAACATCTTAAATTAGTTTACTTCGATTTCTGATGTCCTCTTCATTTCGTTGCTTCTAGATATTTTTTCTCCTCTGATTTGTTTACTGTTCTTTCTCTTCCTGTCGTATCTTCACTATTCAACTTTGAGGTTAAAGAAGGAAGTTGCTGATAAATTGTGCATGACATTTGTCAAGTTCACTTTCAAGATATCACCTTTTCATGTATATCAACTTTCGAGCGTAGGTTGTTTATTAAAGGTTTATAGGAAATCTCTTAATCCAAGATGTTGTGCAGATATTATGAACTGGTTTTATTACGCAGAGAGAAACTTGTCGTTCGTCGTTCTATTATAGTTGAGCCCTAGAGATTTTATCGTACTTTCATGAAAGCATTGAAGCTGATTCATTTACGTATAATTCTGATATTTTTTAAACGTAATTGTTTGGTGTATCAAGTAATCTAAACTGTGTATATTTTTAATAAGGTGAAACAATGATATAAACAGGTTACAGTATGTTTACATAGGAGGGAAGTATGCTTCAAATAATATAATTACTTGTCGTGAAATCATGTTAATTTTAAAACATGTTAAGTCATGAAAATCATACCGTTAAGCTTTTCAAAAATCTGAACATCTATGGCCTATTTGATTATAGGAATTCGTAATCTAACAAACTGCCAACTATGATAGTTAGCAAATGATTAGTAATATTAATATTTACGATTTTATTTAATCTTGTTTTTATCATCTCAAGGGTCATTTAGTACTCAGTGTGGTTTATAAGTGCAGTTATCTTCACTATTGCATTACATTTTGTCACCTTTCTTCTTATAAGCTTTTAAAACGTCATTTTTAATGACTAACTCGCCTTTACAACATTCTCGGAGCTTTTTCATGTGGAAATTTGTTCTCTTCAGTTATTGCTTTAGTATGTTGTAGCAAGATGAAAAGACATTCCTCAGTATATGCTGTTGTTAACCGTTGATGGAGACTAGTCCCAGAGTATATTCTCTGGTTCGCATGTAGTAAGTAACACCAAGCATCTCACACTCATTGTTCCTTTATAGTGTGAATTTAGACAACTATTAAGTCATTTATGCAGCAAGTCTACGCATACTGCACCAATTGATGATGTTGGTTATTCCCACTCTGGGATTTTCGACCTATAGAGACTACTAACGAATACAAAACCTAGGATAAAAGTTTCATTTATACTACGGATATTAACACAGTATATATAAACTGTAGTTAAGAAATGATCCATTTTGTGAACATTGTTATTTACTATCTCCCATGAAAAGTATGGTCATATAACCAAGACTTCTAGGTTGTCTAGACTAGTAGGTGTTCACTAAACTTCAAACAATTGTCGGTGATCAAATAATGACTATGTTAGTGAAAATTTTCATGCGAAATATCAGATAATAACGGTTTTTTTCAAAATGTATTTTTTATTTTGTTTCAAAGCATTTGCTATCATCAGTCCGTTTTGATTCTGTGACTAGTGTAAAGGGTAAAACATCTGTTTTATGCTAATTCCACTCATCGTAGTTGAATACCTTTTGATCCCTCACTGTAGGTTGTTCTAAGGTATCTTTGTTATTTACATGCTATGTAAACTTGTCATTTAAAAGCTATTTATAATACATCATAGGTCGGTATTCGTTTACTGTGTAATACAATGTCAACTGAATGAATTTCGAAAATCAACAGTAGGAATTGCGATACTGCCCTACCATCGAAATTACCTTATACTCACGTGCACTTTCTAAACCATCATAGTTAAGTGAAATCAGTGGCAGCGGCGAGATGATGGCTGTGTTATGCATCTTTCTCAATTGATCATCTTGAGAAATCTAGCTCATATGCAGAGTACTCAGAAGGAAGATAGATGACAAGACTATCTGAATGGCAACAGTGTTTTGAAGTAGTTTGTAATATCTTCATGAAAATATTTCAGAAAAGGTGTTAATGCTTCCAACAGTTTATCTTAAAGTGTAGTATATGCCGAGTAAAACCGTTTTAAAAAGATTTACACTTTATACTTCCTGTCTTATTGAGATGAAATGTAAGCCTGTTTCATTTACTGGTACACATGTACTGAGAAACCATATTTTATTTTGAAGACAATGTTATTTAGCCTTCTTATTCAGCAACGCTTATCTTATTAAAGTAGGCTGAACGTGAAACAGAGTTTTATACCTGTGGTAAGCACTTTACAAAAAAGTGTTTAGAAATAAGTGAGGTATCAAATTCCAATATATTTTATTGAATATTTTCTATGAAATTTTACTATGTTTATTATCGCCTCGTCGTTATTCTTCGAAACAATTATGTTTACTAAATTGTTTTAGAAATGGAAAGTTATATAACTATCTCGCTAAGCTAACAAATATCAGTGAAATGCATATTAGTAGCAATACTAATTTCTGAGGTATTATATACTGACTGAAATGTAAGATTATTCTCTTACTCTCAATTCTAGTCAAGGATATAATTAGCACGTACATTGTGGACACTCACATATGGGGAACTGTGCTGTGGTGTATTTTATATAAAACTAAGGAATAAAACTCTATGGTTCAATTATTCTTTATTACTTGACACATCAGTTAGAAATGTCTTAAGCTTTAAGCAAATCCAAATTTTGTTTATTTAGATATGCTCCGTTCAAAATTTCAGTCAAAGACATCATTCAGTCTGTAATATATTCCAAGTAAAACAGTTGTTTTAGTTTACAATAAATATCTCTGAGACCATTGTGCATTAAAGAGAAATGTTTTCTTCTTGATATCAGAAGTCTTTTATATGAAGTTTTCGGCGAAATAACTAGGGAGTTCTCTTACTGGCTAGAATAATTCATTTGACTTAGTGCGATGTTGGTCGAAATTCTGCACTGTACTGACCAGCTGTTTGGCACACAAGCAGCTGATTGTGATAACCTATTTTCCTCTTTAGTCTCGATAGCTGATCAGTATCGATTTGAACGATGTTAAACTAAACTGAAATTGAATCGAACAGCTGCAGTACTGAGCCACCTACCTACTGCATTTAGTGTAAATTTAGTCTGACATGGTTTCACTCAAAAAATTGTACGCTTCTAGATCACGACACTTTTGATATGATGAAAAAATAATTACCGAAAGTACCCTTTTTGACATTGGAGAAAACAGAAGGTTCAGCGCAGATACCTTTTTGAACAATTTCATTCTCTATAGAAGTGCACATTTAAGCGCTTCATCAACCACTGGTCACAACGTCACAAATGATTCAGTATCCAAAGTCATTTATGAAATGAAGAAAAATCTGCCTAAAATAGTGTGTTTCTGTCTTCTTTGTAATGCAGAAGCTCTTGCCATATGCATAAGAAAGCCGGGGTTATATGTTCAGAGGAAACTTGCTCAACTGTTCTCACTACCTTAGACACCTAGTCAAATAGAGATAAACGTTAACCCCCTCTTTCTAGCTCAGAACTCTCAATTCTGTTGTATTTTATTACATATTTTACTGATCCAACATCGTCTTCATTTTGTTTCTATGCTCCCTTTGATCATGCTTTATCCTGAAAACTACTTTTGTATATTATGCAACTTTATATTCTATCCTATTAATTATTTTGATCTCTCTGCCTTTTTGTAGATCGATCATTCCTTTATGATTGCTTGTGATTTTTAATCTTCATTCAACTTGCTCTTCGCTACTAGGCTAAATTATATATATATATATATATATATAT